TTTGGGTTTGGAGGGCATCTCCTACTCTTCCCCCCTGCCTCACCCAATCCTCTTGACGTCTGACATTGTCTGCTAGAAGCTCAGGCTTCAAGGCTTGAAACATCATTAAAGTGTCTTTGAGCATTCTGCCTAGACTCCACAAGCCAAATAGCATGGGTCACCTATCAATCTTCTATCAGCTCTGTCCAGTGGAGATGTCTCACATCTTACAGTGCCTAAAATGACAACTGTTTTTAAATAATTGAATCCACCTCAGTAGTCAGTGGGCTCTATTGCTGGAACTACATTACAATTGTTCAGCTAACTAAGTGGAAATCTCACTGGCAGTAGCTCTCATCAATAAACTATAAGGAAAAAAGCTCAAAAAAAAAGAAGTGACTCAAGTAGAAGTGTGCATGATTAAGTAAACTGGGATGACAAAACACTTGAGCTAGCTTGTCTCACAGAGTCAAAGTCAGATGACATTTAATAATTAATAGGTTTTTAAAAGAATGTCCGACGTATATCTAGAAAAAACAGAATCATAATAGCAACTTTTATACTTCTTCCATAACCTCTTTAACTGTATACAGCCAACAATAAAATAAGAATTGGTACCAAAATTTCTTTCCATCCTCCTCCCCAAAAGTTAGATTATTAAAAGAAAGGAAAGTTACTTGATAGCCTTCTGTTTGCAACAACTCCTGTTTTTCTTCTGGATTTCTCTTCTGTTCAAATCTTTGAATAAATTCACAGTCTTCACCTGAAATCATCTGCCCTCTGAAAAGCAAAATATGAAACCATAAGCAACATAAACAGTTTACATGGCAACACTCAGGTATCAGGGGGGCTGCAGGGGCAGCTTCTATATGAAGACAGCAGAAGCGGCCGCTGTGTCGGACAGAGCCAGTTCCAGCCAGCTCCAGGACAGAGCTGGCACCGGCCAAAGCCGAGCCACTCAACAACAGCGGTAGCACCTCTGTGATAACATATTTAAGAAGGGGTAAAAACTGCTGCACAACTGCAACCAGGAGAGAGGAGTGAGAATATGTGAGAGAAACAACTCTGCAGACACCAAGGTCAGTGAAGGAGGAGGGGGAGGAGGTGCTCCAGGCACCGGAGCAGATTCCCCTGCAGCCCGTGGTGAAGACCATGGCGAGGCAGGCTGTGCCCCTGCAGCCCGGGGAGGGCCACAGCGGAGCAGATATCCACCTGCAGCAGGTAGAGGACCCCATGCCAGAGCAGGTAGGTATGCCCTAAAGGAACCTGCAGCCCATGGGAAGCCCACACTAGAGCAGGCCCCTGGCAGGAGCTGTGACCCTGTGGAGAGTAGCCCATGCAGAAGCAGGATTTCTTGTAGGACCAGTGACCCCATGGGGGGACCTATACTGGAGCAGTCCATTCCTGAAGGACCACATACCCCGTGAGAAAGGACCCATGCTGGTACAGTTCGTGAAGGACTGTAACCTGTGGGCAGGACCCCATGCTGGAGCAGGGACAGAGCATGAGAAGGAAGGAGCAGCAGACATGAAGCGTTATGAACCACCTGCAACCCCATTCCCTGTCCCCCTGCACCACTCAGGGCAAGGAGGTAGAGAAGTCGGGAGTGAAGTTGTGCCTGGGAAGAAGGGAAGGGTGGGGGGAAAGTGGTTTTTAGATTTGTTCTTATTTCTCATTATCCTACTCTGTTTAATTGGCAATAAATTAATTTCCCCAAGTAGAGTCTGTTTTGCCTGTGATGGTAATTGGTGAGTGATATCCCTGTCCTTATCTCGACCCAAGAACTTTTTGTCATATTTCTCCCCCTGTCCTTTTGATGGAGGAGGAGTAATAGAGCAGCCTGGTGGGCACCTGGCAGCCAGCCAAGGTCTACCCACCAAACCTCATTTTCTTCAACCTGATATCTCAACAGTATCGCTTTACATTCTACTGTGGGATATAGGATTGGTAAAGAGCTCCTTTCTGCAAAAGGTCTCGTGTACAAGGAATTTAAAACTAATGACAGAATAATCTCTCTAAAGCCTTTCCTGTGCATCGCCTCCACTCGGCAGCATTCTCTAAATAACTCTTTAAACTTCCAGAGGCTGAATGCAATGGTCAGTGGAAACAGCTGTGAGAACTGAAATATGCACAGCTAAGCATGTTTTGCCAAAATTATGATACATAACATGAATAATAGCCTAATCCAACCTGAAATAAGTGCTGAAAAATAAAATTAATGGTTCTTTCAAGTTTACCATAAGCACTGAAGAGAATTTTAAGGAATACAGAGAACTTAATTACTAACATATTTTTAGTTTTCACTAAGCACAACATTTCAGCTTTTCCTGGCAGTTTAAAAAGTGATATGCATGCAAGCTCACCCAAACACACAGCAAGGGGGCTTGGTACAGTAAACTGCTGTGGACACCTATAAGCTAACAGATCTCTACTTGATCTTCTCTTTAACTTAATATTCAAGGGGTTACTGCCAGCATCAGTGCTTTTTCAGAAAGCTGTTGACTCAGCTGAAGAGCTGGCAGAATATTGTTGGGTTTTTGTTGTAATACAAAAAACTTACCATCACAACAAATAACAAACTTGTCAAAATACTACAGTCAGGTACTCTTCAGGTAAGAAAACTAATTTTAATTCAAGTCCTGAAAATATCCAAGACTTTAATAGGTGACTACCTTTACTAGTTAATACCAGGAGTACTTCAGGAAAGAAGAAAATTATGCACATCATCATCAATATAAAAGTCACAGGGGATGAAAGTATTAGACATTGCTCCGTTTCAGTTATTTCCAAGACTCATCTCCTATTACATTTCCATTGAGTCAAATGCCTCTTCCACTTTGCAAAGCTATGTAGCATGGATTCTTTTAATCCATCTTTTCCATGTTCTGGGTCAGTTTCCAGATGTTCCATTAAAATCCTTGTTAACTTACAGAAATGTTAGCTTTCTTTTTCCCCTCTCTCCTTTTTTTTAATTGGCTCACCTGCATTCTTGAAACACAGAAACATAAATAAGACCTACAATGTGTTCTTGTCTTACCTCTTACTTAAATGGTTATGTCTTGAGGATGGCCTTATCATAGAGACATCTTTTACATATTTACTTTCCAAGCAAAGAACATAAGTAGTCCAGTACCATGTGCACCATCCCTGTATTCTAGCTGCTTTGTAAGAAATATCCTCATATGCACTGAGGAAAGGAAATTAAGACTTACTAGATGGAAGATTCATAAAGCCAGTGGTAGTCCTCAACTAGTTTCTACTAAAACTTAACTAATTATAAACAAAAAAGTAATTAGCCAATGACAACCATTCTGCTACCACATGCCTTTTAGATTGTGTATTTTCTTGCCTATTAAGGATGGATTTGAATAGTTATTGAAAGATGAGGACAATTCATTCGCCACAAATACTGGACTTAACGATCCGTGAGTAGAAGTATCTCATGTTTCAATCAATGCTGGCCAAGACAGGGACTCGTGGATGATACTGATATCAAGTCACCAGATGAGCTGCTTTATAATAGTATTGCCATTTAGGAAGCACTTCAAAGACGACATAAGGTGAACTCTTAGTTTTTAGCTCTAATGCTTGAAAAAGCCTCAGCCCAGGAAGAGATGCTTCTTTATAGCCAGGCTATTAGAAGAGGTCTGCCAGCAGTCAAGGAAAAAAGCTTTCAAGCTTTTGCTTTCATCCTACATTAGACCACAGGAAAAAAAAAAAAAGAAAAAAAAGGGGGGAAAAAAAAAAGGTGTGGGGATTGATGTTGCCTTGAGAGGAAAAGAAGTTAGGGTTTACTCTTTATTGCTTTTTAAGTGTCATTCAAAAAAAAAAACACTTTCCAACCCATACAAAAGAGTTCAAGGGATATTTGGCAGCTCTGTAAACAAGTTGTTAATATTTTATCAGGGATCTCATACATCTGATTAATAGTTTTAGTAATTTCAAATGCATTCATTTCCATTCATCTCATTTTAAAATTGAAATAACTGATTATTTAGTAAACCTTACCTACCAGTGCAAAAAAACCATGAAAAATGCAGAGCAGCCTCAGACAGCTGGTACCAGCTACCATGATGCTATCACCACCTTTTCCTCATCTCCTCCTCAGAGGGACAGGAATTTCGCAGCACCTTCAAGCAAACAGTGCAAGTAACCAAAGCTTCCCTCCATCCCTCTTCTAACAGCCATTTAATTTCTTATTTTCCAGGATATGTCTACACAGTCTTTTGTCAACATATGAAAGGCACTTTGACTGAGTTTCAGGTGTCTGGGTATATCAGGCTTAGACCAGGAGTCCTGTAACCACATTTTAAAGCTCTGTGCTTGAGATACTAAGGCCTGCCTTTGAGAGCACTAGCTACAGGAGAATAAACTAAAGCTGTGTAAGATTTAGAAATCATGAATTTGCGAGACCACCATTTTTAAAACTTCTTGGTCTCACAAGATGATTCAGAAACTTGTGATTTGTTCTCTTTATTATGCATTTCCTCCAGCAGCTCTTGTTCCTTTTTTTTTTTTGTTTGAATGATTTAACAAAAGTCATTCTGGAGGTTAGGGTTTTTTTAGGTTTGTTTGTTAGTTTGGGG